TTCATCAAAAGCTGATTTCGAGTTGGAATAGTAGAAAAAGTTATCGAATGTTAAATATTTAAAAATTGAGGAGTATATTGATAATTTCCCTTTTTTATTTTGATTTTTATAGAGTTTTATTTTTGGAAATAAAACGGTTTTTGGCTTTTGTTGGTCGGTGGATATAATGTGCTTCACCTTTCTACTCTTCATTTATATTTCAACTGCTATAGTGGGAAAGCATGATGTTGGCATGCAGGTCTATCAGCTGTATATTTAATATTTATATTTTTCAGTTTTTCTATTGGGATAACAGTTTTTTAGGCTTTATAAAGAAGTTTCTCAAATCTTATTAGTAAATACAATTTTAGCCTGAAAATGTGTGCAAATTGATCATGTTGACTTTAACAATTATATAAATAAAAACTAATAATTTTAAATTTTAAAAATAATCTATTTTGAACTAAATATCAGTAAAATCTGAACAATTATCTAGGCTTCCATTCCCATTGACATATTCGACAACCACTAACTATTTTTAGAAACGGGCAAGAGCCTCTAATCCCCATTGATCTACCCAAAAAAAATAATCTAAACAACTTTTAGAGCTTTATTTTCACATTTAGTGGAGGATTTAGATTTGAAGACCAACATAAAGAACTGCATTTTATGATGAGTTTTGAAGGACAACGTTGCCAAATGTCACAAATCAGTGACACTGCGAAAACCAGGCCCTCTTATTTTTAGCTAATTATTAGCATCATTAACATTATGCCAAAATATTTCCCTTGTTCAAACTTCAATAGGGCCCTCAGTTTGTTATGCAATAATTTATTTTATACATCGTTTTCATATTTGAAATTATTCTAATACTTAATTTATAATCCAATATTTTAAATGAGTCAAATAGCCCCAATAGTGGGGTTATTCAAGGAAGAAGGATCTTGGGCAGCTCACTATGGGGAAGGGATTGTCGTTTTTCTAATCTCCAATTTATAAATTCCTAGTTGTTTTTAAATATTATTGTGGTAAATCCCTTTAAAATGTTTTATAATTGTTTTAATATTTCATTTTGTTGTTATTTTTAATATTGGGAAGAAGGGAGGGAGGTAGCTTGCCTGCTCAGTAATGCCGCGTTTGCACCGATACGCTCTTGTATGTAATTTCCACGTGATAGCTATGAATATGTACCAAATTGCCCTTTTAAAGACCAAACTATCACCTATTGTTTTGCTTTTTGGGTGCGGTTTGTACAGATCTTAGGCTCTAAACAACTAAATTAGAGCCAACCTTTAAATAGTATCGAGAAAAGTGATTTTTATTATGAAAATCTTTGTGATAGCCTTAAAATATATTTTGATATTTATTTATGAAGTTTAAAGTTTCAAAAATAGTGTAAATCGGTTGATCTATGAAACCTTGAAACTCTTGAAAATTGAGGATCAAAAAATGTGTTACAAAATATACTATTTCCAAAACTTGAAATCCATTTTTTTCTCATGTCCATGCATCTTGATGTCAAGATGATCAATTTGAGGGTATTAGAACATCAAAACAACCTCTTCTAGTAAAATTTTTGAGGTAGGCTCTAATTTGATTATTTAGAGCCTCGGCTCTATATAAACTTTCCCCTATTTTTGTTGCTACTAGAGAATTTACGGGCGGCAATGGACCCTACCAGACTTGGGATCCAACGAATAGATCTAACCTGGGGTCTGGGTATGGGTCCAAATTTTAGACCCGAAAGGTTGGGTCCAGGTCCACAACCTGGACCTGAATACTGCTTCCGGGTCCGGGTCTAGCTGGATCTAACCCATTACCACCCCTACTAGGGATGGAAATGGGTCGGGTGGAGTCCAATTCAACCGGACCTGACTAGTTATAAGTTGGATTGAAACTTGATTTGGACCTCAGTCAGGTCCAACTCAATTGGACCCAAACCCGCCCACTAGGGCAATCAGGTTTGGGTATATACATGAAAATATGAAAGACATAGTATACATTTTATATTATATAATTAATATTATTAGTATAGAGCAGCGTTTTAAAAAACGCCGAGTCGAACCGGACTCGCCCGGTTCGACTCGAAAATAGTGAAAAAGGAACCGGATCGCCAAAAAATCGGAAATCGTCCGGTTCTAGAGAGAACCGGACGATTCTATACAGTGAATCGCCGATTCACTGTACGGAATCGGCGAGTACGAACAGTGAATCGGCGATTCCGTACGGATTTTTTTT